CACGAGACTTGTAAATATTACTTTTAATTTACGAAACTTGTAAATGTTATATGTACGCCAAATATATGAATAAAAAAAAAATATTTTGAAGCTTTTATATCCATATTATGAAAATATGTTTTATTTAGCTGCTAATATTTGCTAAATTTTTATTTGCAATGATTTGCAAAAATATTCAGGGGCGGATCCAGCATTTTTTGGTGTTTGAGATAGCTAACTTCCATACATGGAGCAAACTCCAAACATTTATATGTTTATACTTATATCAAATAAGGATGGTTTGCAAAAAATTGCGATGATTTGAGTCTGGGAACAAAAAAGCCCCAAAATTTGAGACGTACCTGCCCCAAACGTGAGAGAAACAAGTTGATAAAATATTTTTTGTACTATTCTCAACAAGACTTATATTTATCCATAAATTTTAAATTTCATTGTAAAATATTTCAGCGTTCAAAAATTATGACCATGTAAAGTTTGAATCCCCCTCAATTCGAGGGGGTTACAATTTTTATATGGTCATAATTTTTGAGCGCTAAAATATTTTACTATGAAATTTAAAATTTTTTTGATAAATATAAGTCTTGTTGAGAATTGTATAATTGTATAATAATTAATATTTTGATTCAAAAATAAGACAATTTAATTATAGCTAATATTATAATAATTCAAAGAAAATATTTCTACATAAAATAAATGAAAACCTATTGATAAATTATTTTATTTTTAACTTTAGACTATTTTTATTATGTCAAGCATTAATAGAAATCAAATCCATTTATTTATAAAAGAAAAAAAATTATCATTATCAAATGAAAAAGATAAGCTGGTAGTTTTTAATTTTATTAGTGAACAACTTGGCAATTCTAAATGTAAGGTTCAATTTTCAAAATTTACTTTTGAATACAGAAAGCGATGGGCTGCAAGTGGACGTTACAATGATATATATTTGGATAAAAATTTAGCCTGGCTTTGCAAAGACTTTATTAGTCCCCAACAAACCTTTTTATTTTGCAATACAGAAACTACACCTAAATTATCTCTAGGCAGGTCTTGTAAATCATTTGAAGAATCATCTGATAAATCTAAAAAGAAGAAAGTGTCAAGAATTGTATCATTGGCAAGTTCTTCAAACGAGCTGTTGTTTGCTAGCAGTTGCAAACTTTGGAAACAAGGAAGGAGAAAGCATGCTAAGGTAGCTAGAAATTTATCAAAAACTAAAACTGATGAACATGTTCAAAATACTCCCAATGAAGCCTTAGCACTCATCTTAGATAATAATCTGAGTAAGTCTGATTATCAGCGCCTAAGGAACAATGCTGTAAGAAAAGGCTGTAATTTATATCCAGCTTATAATAATGTACGGGAAAAGTACGTTGTCTTCCAGAGAATAACCTATGGACTGTCACTGACTATTCTGCAGAGGTCAACATGCAAGCATTGGTCAATCATACAGCACTACGTTTAATAGAATGTCAGGCAGAAGTTATTAACTCCTTAGAAGATCTTCAACGAATGACCCTAAGGTCCAAAGTTGGCATTGATGGATCAACTTGCTAAAGCCTTTATACTCAAATAACAACAGAAGAAAACAGAAATATTACAAATGAAGCCAGCTTATTCCTCACTTGCTTTGTGTTTTTGCAGTTATCTGGATATTGTAATGGCGAAAAGAAGATTATTTGGTCCAACCCTTATCCATCATCCACTTTATTTTGCAGACCAATAAGGTTCTCCTATAAAAAAGAAACATCAGATGTATTAAAAGAAGAAGAGCAATTCCTTTACAACTCAATAGAAAAATTATTTACTACAAAGTATGACAAATTAACAGTTCTGCACAAAATTGAAATTACAATGGTGGATGGGAAAGTTGCCACAGCACTATCCACAGCAACAAAATCATTGCAATGCTGCTCAGTTTGTGGTTGCAATCCAAAAAAATGAATGCCTTAAATACTGCAAAAAATCTCCCAATTACTAAAACTGGACTCAATTATGGGCTTTCAACTCTCCATGCATGGATCAGAACTATGGAATGCCTTCTCAAAATAAGCTACAAATTAACAATACAGAAATGGTCAACACGAGAACCATCAGAAAAAAAAAATTCAAGATAGAAAGACATTAATTCAAAAGAAAATTCGTGATGAAGTTGGGCTTTTAATTGATTTTCCTAGGACTTGTGGTTCAGGATCTTCAAACACTGGCAATACTGCTCGACGAATTTTTCAAAATGCAGAGAAGACTGCTGAAATTCTCCAACTAGATATCACCATCATTAAGATATTGCATGTTATTTTGTGCATATTATCGTCACAATATGTTATTGATTCTTTTCGATTTAGAGACTTCTGCATGTAAACAGCTAAACGATATGTGAACCAGTATCCATGGTACCACATGCCACAGAGCCTGCACCGAATTCCTATTAATGGTTGGCAAGTTGTGGATTGAATGGCTTTGCCAATTGGCATGTTAAGTGAAGAGGCACAAGAAGCACGTAACAAGGACTTCAAGAAGTTCCGGGAGTCTTTTTCAAGAAAGTGCTCCCGTTCTAAAACAAATGAAGACTTGTTAAGGAGATTGATGTGTTCATCTGATCTAATTATTAGTAATTTGAGAACACCACATCATCCAAAGAAGAAAGACTTTCCAGATGGAGTGCTAGAGCTACTAAAAGAAGTACCACTTAAAGATTTTGTGTAAATATATTATATTATTACATTTTTACTGCAATGTTACTTGAATTGTGTTTCTGTTTTCATTTTTTCTGCTTATCTGTTTACTATATTTTTATTGCTACAAATTAACGATGTTTTAACGACATTTTGTTTACCCCATTGTAACTAAGGATATGGTAACTAAGCAATATAATTATCCATAGCAACAAAATAAAAAAAAAAACCTTCATAAAAAGGGCAGACATCATATTAGTACTCGTGCTAATTTTAGTGATTATAGCCCTAATATTAAATTAGTTATGAATTTTGTCCAGTAAAAGTGAATTCTGGCCCACTAAACCAAAAATTTAATATTACTTTTACCAGCTAAAAGTAATATTAAATTTTTGGCTTAATTGTTACTAAAAACTACAGACCTCAAAGAGTAAAAACAGAAACAACTAGCCCCGGTCTTCCCTTTATCTACGGCTGGCATCAATCATCAAATCTTTTAAGTATTAAGTATACTGGCTAACCAGTTTGCCGAGCTAGCCCGGAAAACAAGCCAGTTTTAAAATCGCGTTATATAAATTTTGTCATGCCAAAAAAAAAAAATGATATCGAGGTCAGCCTGGCTTTTTATTTTATTATTTTTACATTATTTACATTTTTGTCGTTGTTTACAAAGATAAACAGTCAAGGCTTCTGAAAGAAGATCATAATGATCTTATCATCAGAACCTTTTACAAGTTTTTTAAAATAAATACATTAACAAAACTAAAAAATTACAAAAAATTGTGATACAAATTGGAAATATAAATCA